GTGGCAGGAGGCAGGGTATGTGTGGCTTCCAGCAGGGCTGCCATGCTGGCCAAGCCCACCCCCAGCTCCTGAGGGGATCGGATCTCTGTGGGATGGAGGAGCTTGGATAGGAGTCTAGAGAAAGATGCTGAGTGTGGCCACCAGGGACAGGGCCTCCTCCTTTCCCTCTGGACCTCCTGGGATCCTGCTTCCCTTCTCCTTGAGCTGTCAGATGCTCCCCCTCTGCACTGCAGCCCCCCAGGGCAGCACTGGCAGCACAAGGCTGGGAAGGGGTGGTGCCCTCCCCCGCTGCCTGCCTGCCAGCGTCTCCCTAGCTGCGGCAGAAGCTATAAAAAGCTCACTCTTCAACAAGAGGTGACATCACCCAGTGGCGGGAAGAGCTGGATTCTGCCAGATGCCAGGGAGAATTATGGCCCTCGATCTCCCTCAGGGTGGAGGCCCCTGGGCAGGGGCTTGGGGGAGGTACCACTGGACCCCAAGGGACAGAGCGCATATTCTGCAGAACCCCCAGGACAGGTTGGAGGCGGGTTTCCCGAGGTGTCTCAGGGTGGAGTCTAGGAAGAACCTTAGGGAGCAGGCTTGCTGAGTCCCTCCAGTGTCCTCTAAATGTGCTCAGACCAGCAAGGGCAGTGGGGACTGGAAGGAACAGCAGGGACTCTGGCAGGGGAGGCACCAGGCCTCTGCAGGGGCTGTTCTCCTGGGAGCCTGGTCCAGAACACAGGGCGTGGCATGGGTCACCTGCCCACTGTCTTCCTAAGCCTGCTTTGGGACAGCAAGCTGCATGCACACGGATGTGACCCACACCCTGCACGGATGTGACCGTGCAGGGTCTGAGGGTAGGTGGAGGGCTCCAGGGCAGACAGGGCGGGGTGGCTCAGCTGAAGAGACGGGAGGCCCAGCACGGTGCAGAGAGGACTTGGTGACATTACTCCGAGTGCGATGTCCCTGAGCCTGTTTCCTCCCCTAGAAACGCAGGGCTGCTGGTGAGGTAGTTGGACCGCCAGGGACACACACTCTGGGTCTGCAGCCTCAGGCCCTGATGGCTGGTGCTGAGGCTCAGGCAGACCCTGCGGTGAGTGGGGCTGGGAGCCTGTTCCCTGCAGCTGGCCTGGCAGCTGGCGTGAAGCTTAGTTCTCTCTGATCAAGACCTAATCTCCTGTCTCCGGGCCAGCAGATCCCATGTTCCTCCCTCCAGTGTCCCATGGCCTGTCCTTTCCCTGAGCTCCCCCAGCCACCCCACCCCAGGAATCCCAGTCTGCACACAGCTATGGTGGCTGAGGCAGGAAGGTCTCATGGCTCCACCCCCAAATCTTGGCTTATACTCGGACTGCTCAGGAGAGCACAGGTGTCATTTCCAAGTCCAGCGGCTCGGTCTGTCCGGTCCCCTCTCGGGTCTCAGCCCTGTCTGGTCTCGGGCTTCTCCCACACCACATTCCTTCCCTCAGGCCTTGGCTTCTGGGTCTCTTCCTGGGAGGCTTACCCTTTCTCTGCCTGCCAAGTCGTGCTTCTCCAAAACTTCTTTCTCTTCCCTGAACCCTGGTCAAGAATCACCCCTCTTCCTGCCATGGCTACAGCCCTCTACCTGCCCTTCAGTTCCCACCTCCGACACTACATTTCCTTCTGATGGTGGTCCAGAGGTGCCAGGCACTGGGCTGGGCACAGACATCCCTGCATCCTCACTGCACACAATCTAGATCTCCACACATGTGCGGCTCACAGCAGGGTCCGAGCTCCTAGGCGTATCTAATGCCCCGCTGATCTAGCAGGAGGTGGAGTCATGAGGTGACACAGGGATGCAGCTGCGGGCTGCTGGAAACACAGGCTCTCTCCCTGCCCCTGCTCACCGTCTGCTGCATGGTCCATTTGTTGGATGTTGGGGACCCCTGCTTAATCAGATTCCAAGGCCAAGCCTTCTTTGGCCCCCCAGAGACTGGATGTGGTGGGGGAATGCCACGCAGTGTGGTCTCTCCAGTGTGTGTGGAATCTCTGGGCTCCGGGGGCCAGGGCCTGAGCTTATGCTTCTCTGAGCTCACAGCAAGGGCAATGGCCTGTTCATAACTGGGGTCCTGGAGTGTGACACACCCACTGGATGAAAGAAACCAGCAGGCTAGAACCCGGCAGGTCCCTCTCACCTGACTCAGGTGGCACAAGTTTCAGCCTGAGAAGGGTAGGGGATCCCAGAAGCCTGACCTGGTCTCATCCTGCCCCACTCCCAGGTGCACACTGTTCTGCTACCCAGTTGGGTCCTTTAGTGTTACCACTGATTGAATGATGGATCGATTGCAGTATTTGGAATTGAACCTGGGTGGGGGGGCTCATGCATGCTAAAGTGCTCTGCCTCTAAACTACATCCCCAGCCTTTTTTTTACTTTTTATTTTATTTATTTATTTATTTTGTCTTTTTCATTTTTATCGGTACCGGGGATCGAACTCACGACCACCTGCTTGCAAGGCAGGTGCTTATGCCGCTGAGCTAAATCCTCAGCCCCTTACTTCTTATTTTGAGTCTTGCTAAGTTGCCAGGGCTGGCTTGGAACTTTAGATACTTCTGCCTCAGCCTACTAAGTAGCTGGAGTTACAGTATGAGCTGCCATGCCCAGTACCTCTGTTGGTCCTCATAGAGCTTGGTGGGGCAGCAGCCCAGGTAACACAGGCTTGTCTACTTCCCTGCTGCATTGAACCCGCACTTGGACACTCAGTTTGGGGACAGTGTCTCAAAGAGATCCAGAAGCTTCACATAAATCTATCGAGTTCTCAGCCCAGAGTGGATGGAGAAGCCGTAAGTCTCAGGGGCAACTGTTTCCTGCTGGGTGGTGACAGTTGCTCAACACCTCAGCAAGCTGGGGCAGAGCCAGCTGGGTTTGCCACACTTGGTCCCATGCTCTCCCCTTGGGAACTCTGTCCTTTCTTGCAACGATCACTGAGCTCCCCAGCCCCAACAAGCTCTATTTGCCTCCTTCCAGTTCCAGGAGGCAGCCTCTGCTCCTCAGGCTCTGTCACCTTTCTGGCTGATGCCTCATGCCCACCCTTCTGCAGCTCGGGTCTTCCCATGACCTGGTCCCTGACTGCTGTCCCCAGATCATGTTGGCGCTGCTAAAGAAAGCGAGGAAATCTAGGGGACCATCTTCACCGTGGATTCTTGCTCTCTCCTTTCACAGATGCCTCACCCCTGCTGCTGCTGCCCCCTGGAATCCTCTCCAGCTGACTTAGGAGCTGGCCAGCCCCACGCCACCCTCCTGGCCCCTGTCCACCGCTCTGTATTGTAACCCAAATAATGAATACTGTAATCCAAGGATTGTAATCTCTTTCCTAATCTTCCTCACAATTCAGAAAATTATATTTGTAATCCCACTGAGATGTTATTGGAATCCTGCAAAGTTAATTCCAATCTACCAACTCCAGTGCAACCCACAGTGACATTAAAGACACCAAGACATATTCAAAGTTAAGGGCCACAAGAGGTCCTAAGCCAGATCCAAATAAGAATATGCGGCTGTTCAGGGTATTTAGCTCAGCGGCATAAGTGCCTGCCTGGCAAGTGTGAGATCGTGAGTTCAATCCCCGGTACCAGATACAAAAATAAAAAAAGAAGAATTTACAAATACAAAACCAACAATAGATTATTTACACGAGTTCGATCCCTAGTACCGATTAAAAAAAAACGTATTCGAGAATATGTGGACAAAGGGCCTGATCCAAGACTTCTCCCAGAATTTATTACCTCATGAAGAAGGACGTGGGGTTCAAGGATGCGTGACAGTGAGGATGGTGAGTAACTTGAGCTGCCTGGCCAGGTGGAGAAAAAAGCATCTTTGCAAAATGCAGGAAGAATGACATGCAGAGAGCTCAATCTGCATAATTCAGTTAAGGTGGCATTTGAATTGTTTTGGGAGGCTGTTGTTACTTCAGTTTCTGATAAATAAACTTCTATGCCCTGGGGACTCACTGCCTCTTTATTTAGAAGTTAGGACTCAGCTGACATTCCTGGAGCTGACTGGCTCTGCAGTCCCACTGTGATCAGATCTTTTACAGACAGAGCTATGTAAGAAACAAGAGACTGCCAGATTGGCCCCAAAGAGTATTTCAGGCCTTATTTGCATTGTTCAGAGCCAAATGAAAAGAGAAGGAAATAGCATAGCCTGCGCTGTACGTATCAGAATATGGAAATAAGACTCAGGTTGCAGCAATTGTTCGGCATTCAAGGAGAGTCGCTCAAATAGTCTCCTATAACTCTCTATGTGCCTTCTGCACCAGCTCACCTCACTCTCAATACCACAAAGGCAAGAAGGTTCTACTGGGATTGCTTTCTTTGGATAATTGATTAATTGGGATATATTCACCCACTCATTCACTTATTTATCATTCTATCCATTCTCTTCCAGTCATCCTTCCTCCCATTCACTTGTTATTCATCCATTCAGTGTCCCCCTGCCTTTGGGGACAGTGTTTTGCTTTGTATTGAGTGCTTTGAGCTCACTATATAGCCCATGTAGCCCAGGGTGGCCTGAAACATGATGATATTCCTGCCTCAGTCTCCTGAGTGGAGGGATTACAGGTGTTTATCACCATGTCCAGTCAGCCATCTCTTTATCAATGTGGCCATGCACCCACTCATCCATCTACCCACTGATACATAATCTGCATCCATCCAGCCATTCATCTGGTCATGCATCCATCCATGCATTACCCACCCATCTGTCCTTCCATCCATTCATGCACCTATTCATCCATCAGACAACATCTATTCATCCATCCATCCGTGAATCATCTACCCACCCACCCACCTACCCACCCACACACAGTGAGCAAGTGTTGGGTCCTGGGCCCTATGCTGGACGCCTGGGGTTCAGAGCCAACCAAGTTGTGGTCTCTGCCCCCGAAGATCACAGTCTGGTCTGTGGAGACAGGAGACATAGCTCTTCCAGTGCCAGCATCCTGGGGACATAGCCTGTCCTCAGCCGATGCCAATGAGCTTTCCCTATAGCCTGACTGGGGCTCACCGATGTGTCCTCTGAGCATGAGGCGATGATGTTGTCGATGAAAGGGTTCCACTTGATGTCCAACACATTGCCCTGGTGGCCGCACACCTTGGGGTAGTTGGGTTCGATCCTGCCTGTCTGCAGGGGAGAAGAACAGAGGAGTCAGCGTAGCAGCCCCAGGAAACACACTCCTTTTGCTGGGCTTCTCAGCCAGGGTGGGTTCCCCCAGCCCCACCCTACACTCTCAAAAGGCAGAGTTCCTTGATGCCCTGACTTGAGGCTGCAGGATTTTCCCAGCAGCCAGGGTGGGCATTCATGGTCCCAGGCACAGGAAGCACTAGAGGCGCTCGGTCCTCAGCCCCATGCCCTGGCCTCTCACCCTGACACACTCAGGGAGCTCTGTCCTCCTGCTGTCCAGTAGGAGTCATCCTCACCCATCCTAGAAAATGCTGTGGCCCTGTCCCATGGCGCTGATTGCTTCTGTCTCTGGGATTCCAAGTGGTCCCACTTCAGGACAGTCTGGGACACTTCCTGTGGGACAGGTGCTGCTGCTTTTGGGGTGTGTCCAGCCAAGGAAACAACAGGACTCGAAGGTCCTCGTGTTTGTCGCTGGTCCCCACCTGATCAAATAAGACAGGAGCAAACTGGTCTCCCTCAAATGGAAACTGGGAAAGTTAGGATGTTCCTGCCCATGGGAACATGCAGAGCTCAGTGGGTGGCATCCCTGGCAGCGCACACCCACACCCATATTTTCACCCACCCATAGCGGACCCTGACGCTCCCAGTTTCTCCCCTGGGAGCTGGATCCAGGGTCAGCAGAGAGGCATGAACCTCTGAGTGCATCTCGTTTATCTGGTGATTCTACATAGAGTGTGAATGGGCATCCAGGTACAGTGTGCATCTGGAACACCTGTACACAGTGCCTTGTGGTTGAAAGCAGTCTTTGGAGTCCAAGGATTTGTTTAAACACAGCTCCACCATGTTTTATCTAACTGGCTTTGGGAGATCCAATGAACTCCTAGGAGCCTTGGTTTCCTCATTTCTAAAATGAGGTTAGCCACACCTATTTCTCAGCATTGCAATGCAGATTAAATGAGCTACTGGCTAAGCGGGGTGCTTGGGGATTCTCATCACATCTGAAGGACGAGATGGGGTCCCTGACAGACTCCCACCGTCCATGTCTGCTGCCTGCCTAGTGGCTTCAGTGCATACATCCGGTGGAACCCTCTCTACCCGGTTCTCCATCAGCCCCTTTCCAGATCAGTTATCTTGGAGAAACAGGGCCTGGAGAAAATGGCAGGGTCAGGAAGGGACACAGCCAGGGACCAAATGTGGGCTGACGAGGGCGGAGAGTGTCGGCCCCATCAGTAGGGTGAGAACCTTTCTTGCTTCCATCCAGGATGCAGGCTGGGTTACAAAGTCTTCTCGTTATTCTGGAGCTGCTAGACTACGATTTCTTTAATGAGACTTGAAGCAGAAACCAAGCCACATGACACCTTGGGATTTATTTGGGGTTGCATGTTATCTTAAACTCTCACCACAAAGCTGTGCATTGGGTGTATGTGTGTGTTTTGAGACAGGGTCTTGCTAAGTAGCCCTGACTGGCCTTGAACTCATGTTAACCCAGGCTGGCCTTGAACTTAAAGTAGTTCTCCCATCTGCACTGCATAGTGCAAACTTGTCTCAAAACAAAAAAACCAGCACCAGGTGTGGTGGCATAGGCCCATAACCCCAACACTTTGGAGGCTGAGGCAGGAGGACTGCTATGAGTTTGAGGAGATCGGGCTCCTAGTAAGTTCAAGGTCAGCCTAAACTCCATAGTGACACCTTGCTTCAAAAAGCCAAAAAACAAAACAAAACAAAACAACCAGAGAGTGACCCTGGGGTGGCATGCAGACTCCTAGATAAATATCTCTTTTCGGCTCAGATGCAGATTCCCTTATGTATCTGAGTTCCATTGTTATTCATGGCGTCGGTGATCCTAAGGTTTTTGCAGGTCACGATCTGCTTGGCTGTGAGTGGCAGCCCTGGAGGGAAGGCTCTCCTTTCAGCCTGGTGGCTCTGATTTCCCTGTTTTGGACAGTAGGCTTCCACATAAAACTTTATTCGAAAGATGAGTTCTATTGCTAAAAAGAAGTTTGAAAACCACTTTTTATAGATAAATCAAGGCTATTAAAAATACAGCTATTTCCAAGTGTGGTGGCATATTCCTGTAATCCCAGCACTCAGAAGGCTGAGGCAGGAGGATCACTGCATGTCTGAGGCTAGCCTGAGCTACGTATTGGGACTATGTCTCAATTAAAAAAAAAAAAAAAAAAAAAGCAATTTTTTTTTTTTTTGGTCTTTTTCGTTTTTATCGGTACCAGGGATCGAACTCACGACTGGCTGCTTGCAAGGCAGGCGCTTATGCCGCTGAGCTAAATCCCCAGCCCCCAAAAAAGCAATTATTAACTCGAGGAAAAAGTATTGTATAAGAAAGTTAATGTAATCACAGTACATAATGATTCATGTATTTTCATAGTCACAATAATGTAAATCTTGAATATTTATTTAAACAAAGATTGTATTATAATAGACTGGGAAGGCGGAGGCAGGGAAAGGGTGAGTGAGTAGAGCTTAGAGGAAGGCGGAGCTGGAGGAGGCTAGAACTCATTTTCTATCACAGGAAGTCAATGCAAAGTGTGCAAGACTTTACACATCCAGACAGTAGTACGCAGGTGTAGACACATGCTTGTAACTCAGCCCTCAGGAGGCTGAGGCAGAAGATCACAGTGAGTTTGTGGCCAGCCTGGGCTACACAGTGAGCTCAAGACCAGCCTGAACTACGTGGTGGAACCCTATCTCAGATAACAAATGAACAAATAAATAAATAACCTCAAGACTCGCTGGCAAAAGCATGTCATTCAAAATATGTGAGAAGTATGAAAAGAATAGCAAAGGCATAAGAGCTGCTACCTTTGGGGAGCAGAACACGGGGTGAGGGGACATAGCCGTGTGGAACAAGGGTTGAGGTCACAGACGGTGACAAGCTGAGGGGTGCTTCACTGGGCATCCAGAAGGGAAAGACCGAGCTCTGCAACACCCGTGGTACAAATAAAATCTCCCAGCCGCTCTGCTTTCCGGTTAAAGAACTGGTGTCCCCTGACACAGAGTGGGGACAGAATCTGATAGTGAGCAGTGTCCCCCTCCCACCAGGCACAAGCGGTAATGCCAGTACTTCCCCGGGCACAGGGAGTAGGTAAACAATTATGGACTGAAGCATTTTTAGTATCGGTGAGGTGGTTTTATTACAATTTATTTAATTGCAAGTTAATGTGCAAAATATTAATAGTGTCAACCTCAGGCTAGTTGGATATCACTAATGGCTCTGACTTCTTTTCCATGACATGGAACATTTTTCCCTGCCAGGCTGGGGTGGAACCCAGGGCTTCTTGCATGCTAGGCAAGAGCTCTGTCACTGAGCTATACCCCAGTCCCAATATTTGACATTTTTATTAGATGTTTGTTTTAAAAAATTAACTTCGTGGGGCCAGGAATGTTGCTCCATGGCTCAGTGGCACAGCACCCACCTGGCAAGCACGAGGTCCGGAGTTCGATTTCTGGTACCAAAAAAAATCACACAGCTTTGATTGGTTTTAGGCAAACAGATCTTAAAAGGAATGGGGTGCAGACTTCCGGGGCTCACAGGATTTTGCAGCACAGTGTATGCGTTCATACCCGTGATTGATTTGCGGGGAGACAATGCTGCAATTCATTGAGACTGGGTCTCTGAGTGCGTGGGGAGCGCATAAGACCCCCACAAGGTGCTCCCTGGGAGAGGCTGCCCCGAGGTGCCCTGCAGGCTGCCCAGGGGGTTTGGGGCGCCTCCACCGGAACCCAGCGGCATGAGACCATTTCAAAACAACCCGCAGTGCAGCTGCCGCTTCCCATGATCCTCTGGCACCGCAGTGTGGAAATTTGTACATGGAAGCAAAATGTTCTTACCTGGAGAATCAGCTTAGCGAGGCAGAAAAGCGCACGGCGCAGGAGCTAAGGTTTCCATGCTGGCTTCCGGTGACCTTGAACACAGACCCCCATCTCTCCCTGGGCTCCTCAGAATCCCAGGCTCCTTCTGGTGGCTGCTACCCGGAGCCAGGCATGTGTGCAAGGCAGAGCGCCTCACTTCCGGCAGGCCGGGGTAAGAATTCTTACCAGGTTGGCTGCCGCAAAGATAGGGATGGCAAGACCACTGTCGGCCATGGGAAAGAGGGTGGCGATCAGAGTATCTGACGCGGGTTTACAGAGCGTCAGGTCCTGTGCTATGCTATGCCATTCACAGAACTTGTTTATTCCCTGTGACAGCCCTGTGAAGTTTCATCACATCCTTATGACCTCCCACAAGGACCCATTTTATAGATGAGTTAAACTGAGCCCTGGGACTGAGCACAGATGGTATAGCTAGCAATCGAGGGCCCACAGAGGCACCCAGCCTTGTGTCCTCTCTGCTGCACTAGGTCCTGGAGCCGGGTGGGGGTGAGACAGGAGGTAAATCTGGGAAAAGTAAGAAACCAGGAATAGAACTTCAACATCTCTAGTGTAGTTCCCCTGGGGGCTGGGGACTCCTCGAAGCTGCCTAAATTCTTCACTCCGTCCCCTCCTGGTCTCTCACCTCTACCAGCGCTTTCAAACCTTGCTACAGTTTACGATCACCAGGGATATAAAAACCCAGCAGCTGCCGAGGAGGAGACTGAGCTCTTACCAATTTAGCCACCCGTGTGGCATTTGGTTTGGTTTGGTTTGGTACTGGGGTTAGAGCCCAGGGCCTTGTGTTCCACATCCCCAGGCCTTCTTAGTTCATTTCTGGAAAGGGTCTCACTAAGTTGCCCAGGCTGGCTTTGAACTTGTGGTCTTCCTGCCTCAGCCTCTGGAGTAGCTGAGATCGTAGATATGTGCCACTGCACCAGGCTCATTTTTTAGATTCCCCCACAGCCTGGCATGGTGGCACATGCCTGCAATCCCAGCACTCAGAGGCTGAGGCGGGAGGATCACTGCAAGTTCGAGGCCAGCTTGGGCTCCATAGTGAGACTGTCTCAAGGAAAAAAAAAGATTCCCCAAGTGATTTCAGTGGGCAGCAAGGTTTGGAAACCACGCTCCTAGAG